TGCTGGGCCCTGTGGGGAGCCCGGGGGGGCACTGGATGAGAAGTTATTGCTTGAGAGATCGAGACCAGTGTCTTCCCAAGGGCGTCCTCGGTGCTGCCACCCAGCAACACGGCTAGTTTCAAACGTTGCGTAATAATCTATCTAACGCACATCCCAAAATTTATTCCAGTCGCTGAAACTTTTAAAAATGGGATGTTGGGGACTTCCCTGGTGGTCCAGTGGCTAAGACTCCGCACTCCCAATGCAGGGGGCCTGGGTTCGATACCTTGTCAGGGAAATGGATCCCACATGCTGCAACTAAGACCCGGCACGGCCAAAAATAAATAAAATAAAAATGTGATGTTGTTTGCATGTTGTGTTACATCAGGACATTATGCTCATTTTGTCTGAAAATATTTTAAATATGCCAATAGCCCTATGTAAACATCATATTACAATTGATTGCTGTTTCTCTATGGATGAAATCTTCCACCTGCAGGGATGCGTGAAAACATACTGCAATAAATGTTTAATGACAGATATTGCCACAGAAATATTGAGGGCAGAAATGAAGTTATTGCATAGTCGATAATCTAGATTTACCTTCTTTAGGGTTCATATTAAAGAGAATACACCTCCCCAGTAAATGTCCTTAGAAACATGGCAAAGTTAATTATTCCTTAGATGAGAATAAATCCCAACGTCTTCTGAATACTATATATTTTACAGGCTCTGTTATCCACACCTGACAGAACTTTCAGCAATAGAACACAAACAGCTAAAATACATTACAGTTTAAAAATAAAAGGTAAATTTCTACTTATTCTCATAATGAACATATTGTGAATTTGAAATTGCATTATATTTAGTTATTGTTGACTTAAGTATATTAGGATGTAAACAAGTTTTTCTCAAAGATATTTTAAGGTAATTCAGCACAAGCATGGAATACGATAAGTATTTTACAAAATAAGGCAATTTTTATGGCTCAAAGCCAAAGACAATAACAAATGAGAAATATATGATTATATGTGTAGAAGAATCCAAAAAAAAGGCAATTCTCATCAAAAGAAAATATTTTTTTTCTTTTATTTTCCTTTTTCTTTTTCTTTTATCTATGTGAAATGATGGATGCTAATTAAACATATTGTGGTAATCATTTCACAATATAGGGAAGTCAGACTATTGCTGTACACCTTAAACTTATATACTGATGTATGTAATTGTATAAAGAGTTGTTTATACAATTCTTATATGTCGCTGTGTAAACAGTTGGTTTCAAAACGGCAAATAGGGGACTTCCCTGGGGGTCCAGGGGTTAACACTCAGCAATCCCAATGCAGGGGGCCCGGGTTCCATCACTGGTCAGGGATCTAGATCTCGCATGCCTCAACGAAGACCCCGCGCAGCCAAATAAAAGGTAAATATTAAAACACACAGAGAGCAGCTTCAAGATGGTGGAAGAGTAAGACACGGAGATCACCTTCCTCCCCACAGATACGTCAGAAATACATCTACACGTGGAACAACTCCTACAGAACACCTACTGAACGCTGGCAGAAGACCTCAGACCTCCCAGAAGTGTGGATGGAAGGCTCTTGGTGCTCCAGCCAGAAGTCAGTGCTGTGGGAGAGCCAACTTCAGGACACTGGTCCACAAGAGACCTCCCAGCTCCACGTAATATCAAACAGCAAAAATCTCCCAGAGGTCTCCATCTTAAGAACAAGACCCAGGTCCACTAAACAACCAGCAAGCTACAGTGCTGGACACCCTATGCCAAACAACTAGCAAGACAGGAACACAGCCCCATCCATTAGCAGAGAGGCTGCCTAAAATCATAAGGCCATAGACACCCCAAAACACACAGAGACAAACACACACAAAAAACGGTTAATGGGACTCCCTGCACTCCTACTGTAGGTGGTGAGGAGCTAAGATCCCACATGCCCCGTGCTGCGGCCCAAAAATAAATAAATAAAAATACTTAGGCGAGGGTTTCCCTGGTGGCGCAGCAGTTGAGAGTCCGCCTGCCGATGCAGGGGACACGGGTCCGTGCCCCGGTCCGGGAGGATCCCACATGCCACGGAGCGGCTGGGCCCGTGAGCCATGGCCATTGGGCCTGCGCGTTCGGGGCCTGTGCTCCGCCACCGGAGAGGCCGCGGCAGTGGGAGGCCCGGGTAACTTAGGCTAAAACAGCGAATAATTAAAACCCGTTAGCAAAAAGGAAGAACAATACAATTTATAACAATTTTAAAACATATTTATTTTTTTATTCAGGCTGCGCCGTGAGGCATGCGTAATCTTAGTTCCCTGACCAGGTATGCAACCCGTGCCCCCTGCAGTGGGAGTACAGAATCTTAACCACTGGACCACCAGGGAAGTCCCAATTTACAACAATTTTTGAAAACGTTTTGCTCTTTTTAAAGCAACCGTTACTGACCTAAATCATCACTTGCCTTAGTCCTCCAGTCTCAGACCCTACGACTTGTCCCTGAGTCTCTGGAACTAAGCAGATTGTTGAATTTGGCCTCTGGAGTGAAAGGGGAGTAGAAATGGAGAAGCTGTTCTGCAGGGTGTCACTATGAAATAGCCCATTCGACCCAGGGAGAGTTTTGTATTTCTCATTCTAGTGTGTAATACAGAGACAAGTTCACTTCTTAACTTAATTCTAATTGCACAAAATCTTCCTGGATCCAACCACTGACTCATGTCAACTACCCTGGAAGACCCACATTTCCAGAAATATGAATACCTTCGCAGGACACGAGAGCAACCTACTGGGGAAAATAGCTTTTATTTAAACCATATGCTACTTGTTTAGAGGAGACATCTTCGTTTTCGACATAACTGGCCCCCACAAATGTAACCTTTAGCTTAAAATTGTTAGATCGCAACTTAAGCCCGTCAAGTACAAGCACCTCCCAAGCACCTTCCGGGTCCGCCCCCTTCCCACCCTCCCGTGGTCCCTGCTTGCACCCGGGTTCCCCTCACTTCCCCCCCCAACCCGGCCCTTAGCGCTCCACCCAGGCCCCGCCCCACCTCTTCACCAGGCGCATGCGCACTTCTCTACAGACCCGGAAACGGAATGCTTACAACGAAGGTCACACTGCAGAACGTAAGTTTCTCTTTTCTAGTTTAAATCTGTGCTTCGCGGTCCCTTTACTCCATCCTTAGGGTGCTGGAGTCACTGCGATGTTTAAATTCCCACTCCCGCCCCTCCTCCCATCACTGTTACAGATCGCGGACCGTTTCCCTTTGGGTTTAAAATTTCTCTGCGTCCAGTACCGAAGCCCTTGCCTTTTCTGCCTTCGGTCCACGTAGACACCGCCTTTCGCTACATTTTCCTGCTTAAAACCCTTTAGTACCTCCGCCCTGCTTGTAAAGTCCTCTTCCGTGAGGTGTATTCGAGCTCCCCAGCCTCGCCCTCCGCCTCCGTAGGGCAGCTCCGGCCGCCGTGCTGCCGGAGAGGCCGCGTCCTCTCCCCGGTGCTGGGGTTCTGGAGAGTCCTCCCCTCTCCTGAGACCCCCTCCCTCTTAGACCCTCTGTCCTCGCCTCTTACTCAGACCTGTCTTTCTGCTCCGCAGGCCTCCCCTTCCTGGTCAGCCCTTCCTCAGACCCCGTGTAGGGGGAGGTGACCTGGGCCAGCCTTGTGACACATACTGTTCTTCGGTCCCGAGTTCCAAACTGTCTCTAACAGCATGCGGGCGTCTTATTCAGTCGCCATCCTCGTAAATACAGAGGCGAGGGGGATCAGGAGAAGCAGACACAGAGAGCGACTGAGAGAAACAGAAAAACTGAGAAGGATAAAGAATGATGGAGAACCAATGGGAACATAGAGGGACTTGTAAATAGACAGTAAAGTGAAAGTGATTAAGCCTGGAAGGTAGCAGGTGAATAAAATAAAGAAGTAAATAAAAAAGCCGGATCTCCAGGAATTGGAGAGCAGCAAGGGGTGAGGGGCTCTGGATCAGTGGTGGGAGGGTGGTAACAATGGTGAGGCGTTTCAAACAGAGGGTCCGGGAGAGGATAAAAGGTGGAACCATGGCCTTCAGAGCAACATGGTGCTGGGAGAGAAGGAGAGGAAAAATATTGACTACTGGAGCAGAGAGAGCAGGAAGGAAGCATAGCCACCTGGGGTGCCAGAGAGTGGGGAGGAAGAGAGTGTAACAGGGAGAGGAGTGTAAACAGAGGGCAGAGAGGGAACAGAAATGGGGGGAAGAAAGGCAGAAATACATAAAAATGTAGGTCATCCGAAAGGTTAGGGAGAAAGATCATCAATAGGGGTAACAAGTTGCAGAGTGGGGCAGGACAGGAGTGAGAAAATAAATAGGAGGGCAGAAACAGCAGGAGAGTAGAGGGGAGCAAAGAGGCAGAGACATAGAAAGAAGTAGGGAGACAGATAAACAGAATGAAATGGAAACACATAGTAGTGCAGGTAGAGTCCTAGAGATTATCATACTAAGTGAATTAAATCACACAGACACATGATATCACTTATATGGGGAAAGCTAAATAAATGGTACAAATGAACTTATTTACAAAGCAAAACTAGACTCAACAGACATTGAAACAAACTTATGGTTCCCAAAGGTGGAAGGAGGGGGAGGGATAAATTGCGAGTTTGGGATAAACAGATACACACTACTATATATAGAATAATTAAAGCAACAATGACCTACTGTATAGCACAGGGAGCTATATTCAATATTTTATAATAACCTATAATGGAAAATAATCTGAAAAATATATTCAATAAAGAAAGGATAACCTACACTATTTGATCTTCAAAGATCTATCATGTACTGAAAAAAAATAAGTGTAGGAACTTACTTGTTGTTCTCTGTGTGGGAGTTTACTGTCCTGAATCCCTCCTGGGACAGTGGGCAGCAGAGGACTGTCTGTTCCTCAAGCTGAGGGCTTCCCTGTGTGTGTGGTTGTGACTCAGGAAGGGGGTGTATCGATTCTAAGCATTAAACAGCATCTTTCCAACTTTCAAGATCGACCTCTAAAGACTCCTATTGCCTGAGGAAGAAGCCTGGAAGAGGAAAGAAAAGGAGTCAGAAATGGCTCTTTCTCAGGTAAAGTCATTTTCTCTGTTGATTCTTCAGCCTGTCCTTCCTGAGATGTCCTTCTTTGGACTCGCTAATCTTGTCTGCCACCTGTACATTCACAGTCATCCAGGGCCTTCTCTCAAGGCCTGTCATCTCCACTTAGATCCCGTCTCCCCATGACCCAGTGACCTGGGACTTGTGAGGAGGCTCCACTGGGCCTAGTCCTGGGCAGGGCTTCATACCCATGGATTGGAGACGCGGTGTCAGTGCTACTGGGCAGCAGGGATTGTTGAGGGGCCCCATCTCAGTGCACTGGCTGTTCTCTGTAAACCAGGATAAAGAAGCTGTACATGGAAGTCAGTTAATAATATGCACTTAGGCCTGGTAAATTTTAGGAAACAGAGTAATTACAGCAAATACGTTCTCACTTTTCATGCTGCATTAGAAGCGAAATGGATGTGTCACTGATTTAAAAATCGTAATGATTGGGAATGGAATGGAAAGGTCAGAGATACATCAGTGATAGAGGGTGTTTCATTCTATCATTGATTTTAAACTTTGAAGTCAACCTAAATTTCTGACACATGGAGATTCTTAGCCCGTTTTGATCATCTCCGGTCCTTGGAGGTTACTTTTCACTGTTGGTTGCCTCCTCTGACACATAGAAGTTTCTCATTCTGATGCAGGTAAGGTTCCAGCTTTACACTTTTGCTGGTAGATATCCGGTTTCCCAGCACCGTTTGTTACTGAGACTGTCCCTTTTCTATTGTGTGGTCTTGGCACCCTTGAAAATGCGTTCTGCGTTTATGCAAAATTAATTTTGAGTGTTCTGTTGCATTACTTTACGTATCTGTGTTTATGCCAGTACCACACCATCTTGATTATTTCGTGATATGTTTTGAAATCTATAAAGGGTGCCCTCTATTTTTCTTCTTTGTCAAGAGTATTTTGGAGATTTAGGAGATTCCCTATGAATTTTAGCATAGTTACTTCTATTTCTGCAAAAATTGCCATGGGACTTTTTTTTTTTTTTTTAGCGGTACACGGGCCTCTCACTGTTGTGGCCTCCCGCTGCAGAGCACAGGCTCCGGATGCGCAGGCTCAGCGGCCATGGCTCACAGGCCCAGCTGCTCCGCGGCATGTGGGATCTTCCCAGACCGGGGCACGAACCCGTGTCCCCTGCATTGGCAGGCGTACTCTCAACCACTGCGCCACCAGGGAAGCATGCCATGGGACTTTTGATAGGGATTACATTGAATCTACACAACACTTTGGGTAATAGGGTCATTTTAAGAAGATTTAGTCTTTCAGTCCATATGTATAGGATGTCTATTTATTTGTATCTCCTTATGTGTCTTTTAGGAACATTTAATAGTTTTCAGTGTACAAGTCTTTTGCCTTCCTGGTGAATTTCTTACTAAGTATTCTATCCCTTTGATGCTCTAGAAATGCGATTGTTTTCTAATTTTCTGTTGACATTGTTCACTGTGTATAGAAATGCACATGATTTTTGGGCATTGACTTTTGGTATCCTGCAACTTTTCTAGAGTTGTTTTTTGATGTAGCAGTTTCCTTGTGGAATCTTTACTGTTTTTACATATAAAAGTTATCATCTACGAAAAAAGATAATTTTACTTTTTTCAATTCGGGTAACTTCCTTTTTCTTGTCTAATTTCTCTGGTGAGGGCTTTCTGTACTTTGCTGGACAGTAGTGCGAGAGTGTGTATCCTTGCCTTCTTCCTGGTCTGAGAAGGAAAGCTTTCTAGTTGAGTGTTTATATCTTTTTCTCTTTTTGGCCTTGTGGTGGGATCTTAGTTCCCTGACCAGCGATTGAACCTGGGCCATGGCAGTGAAAGTGCCAAGTCCTAACCACTGGACCGCCAGGGAATTCCCAGAGTTTTTATATCTTGAAACATAGTTGAATTTTGTGAAATGCATTTTTCTGCATCAATTGAGACGATCATATGTTTTTTTCCTTTATTCTGTTAATGTGGTATATCACATTAATTGATTTTTGTATGTTGAGTCATCCTTGCTTATAGTAATAAAATCCACTTGGTCATGATGTAAAATCATTTTAATGTGTTGTTGAATTTGGTTTGGTACTATTTTGTTGAGGATTTTTCAGTATTCATGAGGGATATTGGTTTGTAGTTTTCTGTGCTTCGTGTGTCTTTCTCTGGGCTTGGTATAGAATCATGCAGGCTCCATAGAATGAGTTTGCCAGTGTTCCCTCTACAGCTCTTCGGAAGCTTTTTATCTGGATTAGAGGTAATTCTTCTGTAAATGTTTGGTAGAGTTATGCAGCGAACCAATCTGGTCTTGGCTTTTTCCTTGTTCGAGATTTCAGATTACTGCTTGAACCTCTCTTGTTATAATTCTTTTCAACTTTTTTATTACTTAAAGATTAGAGCTTAATAGGTTGTATGTTTCAATGAATTTACCTGTATCTTCTAGATTATGTAATTTGTAAGCATTATTGTTCATAGAACCCCTTATAGTTTGTTTTTTTTAAATTTATTTTATATATTTATTTTTGGCTGCGTTGGGTCTTCGTTGCTGCGTGTGAGCTTTCTGTAGTTGCAGCGAGCTGGGGCTACTCTTCATTGCAGTGATGGACTTCTCACTGAGGTGAGAAGCTTCTCTTGTTACAGAGCATGGGCTCTAGGCGCATGGGCTTCAGTAGTTGTGGCACCTGGGCTCAGAAGTTGTGGCTCGCGGGCTCTAGAGCACAGGTTCAGTAGTTGTGGTGCACGGGCTTAGTTGCTCCGCAGCATGTGGGATCTTCCCGGACCAGGGCTCGAACCCGTGTCCCCTGCATTGGCAGGCGGATTCTTAACCACTGCGCCCCCAGGGAAGCTCCTCCTTTTGCTAAATTTGATTTTAGTTTATTCTTCTCTACTTCCTTGAGTAGTAAAATTGGATTTCTGATTTGACTTCCCTGTTAGTACGGCTTTCACTATGTTTTATAAATTTTTGTATGTTTTCATTTTCATCCAGATATTTAAAAAATTCCTTTGTGATTTCTTCTTTGACCCATTGGTTATTTATGAATACGTTGTTTTATTTCCACGTTTTGGGGATTTTTCTGTTTTCATTCTGCTGTTTATTTCTAATTTTATTGCTTTGTAGTTTGAGAAAATTCATTATGCTCTCAGTCTTCTTAAAATTGTTAAGATTTCTTTTATGTCCTAACATGTGGTCTCTCATGGAGAATGTTTTATTTGTTCTTCAGAAGTGTGTGTTTTCTGCTGTTGTTGGGTAGAGTGATTTGTACATGTCTGTTAGGTCCAGTCGGTCTATAGTGTTGTTCAAGTCCTCTGTTTCCTTATTGATGTTCTCTTTGGTTCCACCCATCGAAAAAACTGGGATGTTAAAGTCTCATAGGATTATTGTGCTGCTATTTCTCTCTTTGTTTCTGTTAGTGTTTCCTTCATTTTTGGAGGGAGCTCTAATGTTAGATATATAAGTACTTATAATTATTATATCTTCTTGGGGAATTCTTTTAAGAGTATGTATTGTCCTTTGTCTCTTGTATCAGATTTTGTCTTTAGTTTATTTTGTCTGACATTATGTAGTTGCCCCTGCTCTCATTAGGATGGAATATTTTTTTCCATCCTTTCACTTTTCACCTTCCCATGTCCTTAGGTTTGTGAATGTTCACAGTTGCAGCTCTGACACACTCTCTGTGTGTCTCTCACTCTTGTTCCCTGTTTTCCTCCTGTTACTTCCTCTGGTGGTCACTGCTCAGGCAGACTGTACAGTGGTGAAAGGCAGGAGCCCTGGCCAGCCCCCTTCACTCTAGTGTAATTTCAGAGGGAAAGCATTGAGGGTTTCCTTCTGATTATACTGTTTGGTGAAATGTTCTTGCTTCATAACAATATATTTTTTTCTATATTCCTTTTTGTCATGATTTTTAATTCTCCAGGAAGTTTTAAACTTTATTATTGTGATAAGTCTTTTTCTTAATATGTTAAATTAATGTATAACTTCTAATTTTGAGTCAGTGGTTTCTTTTTTATTTTTTTTTTTTGCTGTACACGGGCCTCTCACTGCTGTGGCCTCTCCCGTTGCAAAGCACAGGCTCCGGATGCACAGGCTCAGTGGCCATGGCTCACGGGCCCAGCCGCTCCGCAGCATGTGGGATCTTCCCGGTCCGGGGCACGAACCCGTGTCCCCTGCGTCGGCAGGCGTACTGTCAACCACTGCGCCACCAGGGAAGCCCTCAGTCAGTGTTTTATAAGTGGAATACACAAACTCTGTTCTGCATTTGTTAATACCTACCTATTTTAATTTTAGTGGATAAAATTGTACTTATATTCTTCAACTTAGGTGTTGTATAGAGATAGGAGTTAGAAGTTTTGTATTTTTCTCTTTCTGTTTGTACCATTTTTCTTTTACTAGACTACTATAGGATAATGTTGACGAAGTAAATTAAGTGCAGGTAATACTTCCTTGTTCTTCGAAAATGCTGAAATAAATGTGGATGAAAATGATAACAGAAAATGTTATCCAAAAATATGTCAATAGACAACTCCTATCTTTTTTTTTTTTTTTTGTCCAAGCCAAGCAGCTGGAGGGATCTTAGTTCCCCAACTAGGGATTGAACCCAGGGCCACAGCAGTGCAATTGCCGAGACCTAACCACTGAACCACCAGGGAACTCCTGCCTTTTCAGTTAATTGTGTGTTTACATGTGTGTGCATGAGTGCATGGAAGTGCAAGTCCATGGTTTTGATAAAGACATCATTATTTCAAACCTATCTTTTTGCATTTGAAATTATATCTTAAATGTATTCCTTGGCCTCAAATTTTTTCTACAGTATTGTGTTAATGGTTTAAATAGCAATAAGATTACTAACATTTTATGTACATCTGTGTGTGAGCCCACGTATGTGATGACGTTTTATGCCCTTCCACGTCGTTCACCTTGAACTTCTTTCAAATTTTCTCAGAGAATCCTCTGTCAGTGTGCTTTTAATGCTCTTTCTGTTACTCAGCTGTCTCATTCCTTAGCTTCAATTCCAGACACTAACCCTCTGAGTTCTGATATTTCCTGTGTCGTTTTTAGTTTCATGACCTGAGTCAAGTGTCTCCAAGTGTGTCTGACACAGTACTATCCTTTGTAAGATTGGAACAGGTCATCTCTAATGAGCTTTTATGTCTATAACAATTTCATACATGTAAAGAATTTTTTTAGAATGATATTTAGCATATAGGAATTGTTCCAACCCTTCTAGTCATTGCTCTTGTTATCATTATCATAATTGCAGATTTTGACCTTTCTGTAAAGCCACTGTGGACTTTGTCATCTCTGAAGGCACCACTGATACTGTAGCTGATTTAGATTTTGAATATCACGCAGTGTGTAAAACATAATATGTAACACTTCTGCATAGACAACCTGTTATTGAATTTTATTTCTAAGTTTTTCGTGTGTTGTGTGGAAAAATGAAAAATCTACATTGATTGGAGGATATCATAATTGCTATGAAAAGGCATAAGAAATTAAAATTAGAGACCCATAATTTCCCTAAATACCTTTACATGGATCTGTCAGACTACATACTTCCACTGAATTGATCCTTACCACTCTCTCCTCTTCTCATTTTGTGTGATAATAAGAACTCTCTTCATGGACCCTTGATGAGATATGTTTTCATTTCAGGCACCGTTGACATTCAAGGATGTGGCCATAGAATTCTCTCGGGAGGAGTGGGAATGCCTGGACCCTGATCAGAAGGCCTTTTATGTGGATGTGATGTTGGAGACCTACAGCAACCTGATCTCCCTGGGTGAGGGTAACTTCCCTTCAGAAGTTGGGAATCTGCCTTTTGGGTATCTTTGCATTTTTCCTCTGTGCCCCTTGGGAGCCCTTGTTTTGCTTGACTGATCTGAAATCCCTGTTGACTCAGATATGAAAAGCTTCATGATGTGATATCATGAGTTTAAGCTTCACTTTTCTCCAAATGATCTATCCATTTCATGATACGTCAGGCGTTGTTCCAGAGCTTAAGTATTTATAAAGCTCAGGGCAAACTTTTCAAATAATGAATTCTCTTTTTTCTACCCCTGTGCTTTCGATTCACTACCTCTTGAAAGAGAGCTAATTATCTGCATATTACACTGTTCCCTCTGCATTCAGAAGGAGGCAAGTGGTGGAGCAGTCAGTGAAATATTTTTCCAGACCCACCCGTCATGTCCTCACTCCTCAGCTGAACAAAGAGCTGGGATTCTGGAAGAGCCACAGATCTTACTTATTTCTCTTGAGAAGCAGAAATTTCTGTTTCTGATCTGAATATTATTTGCATTTTGGAACAAGAGGAAGAGCCCTAGCCTCTGAAGAGTGATGTGAAAATAGCAAAAAACCAAGGGTGGGGGAATTTATTAAAAGTGTGAACACAGGTTAGGTCTCAGAAGGGCAGAGAATCATGATCTATGCTCTGCCATCTGGCCCCTGTGAACTAGTTTTTACTTGACTTTGAGGAGCGTGAAGAGGGTTGTTTTATTTATTTTTATTATTATTTTTTTTTTTGCGGTACGCGGGCCTCTCACTGTCGTGGCCTCTCCTGTTGCGGAGCACAGGCTTCTGGACGCGCAGACTCAGCAGCCATGGCTCACGGGCCCAGCCGCTCCGCGGCATGTGGGATCTTCCCGGACCGGGGCATGAACCCGTGTCCCCTGCATCGGCAGGCAGACTCTCAACCACTGCGCCACCAGGGAAGCCCAAGAGGGTTGTTTTAAAGGGATCTTTTGCCCCCTTCATTTCTCTTTCTGTACTTGATTTCATTGGATGCTCAGTTCTCAGTCCATATCATAAGAGTTGATGCCTCCAGACTCCAGTCTCTGGGCCTTTCTCAGTTTTATCCCTATTTGTGTTCTTAAATGACCTAATCAGAAGATGGGAAAACACTGGCTGCTCTTTCATTCCACCTGGCACCTCAGAACCGGCATGGAGCTGTCTCAAACCCCATCTGCTTGTTTAGATTTCACAGCCATTTCTTCTGTTCTGATTTTGCCACACACTTCAGGGATGTGTGAAACAGAGAGGTAGATTGGATCTTGTGTAATTTTTACAGAGCAAAACTATAAAGACAGTGGACAGAGAGATCCTCTTTTTATTTCCCAGTCCCTCACGGGGGGAACATGTGAATCTTTCAAGCTCTCAGTTTGGCATCTTTGATAGAACGCATAGTTTCTTCTCAAGGGCTGTAATATCTGACCCCATATCTTGAATTTGGGGTCTTGTAATATCTGACCCCATATCTTGTATTTTTTTCGCTCTTGTACTGCTCTACCAAGTCAGTAATGTAGATTCTCCTGATTTCATATTCTTCTAAGTTTGCATGATTTTGCCTTTTGAAACTTGCTTTTGAAATACGTATTCCTAGAATCTGAAATTTTATCCAGTTTCTTTGCTGTGATAATCCACCTGTAGCAGACAGGTACGGATGGACTCTCTGTGGAGTGGGTTTACTGGATGACAGGAAATTTTTGTTGGAGAATGCTTTCCCTCATATGCTGTAATATTTTCCTGCTCCACAGTAAGTCGCCACTTGAAGCTACTCAGTAGAGTGGTCTGTGTGTTGTAGGATACGAGATAGAAAGTATCACGAGAGCCTGACTGAGAAGCCTTTCCCGTTTTTTTTCTGGCTTTGAGGACTGTCACAAAAGCCTCTCTTAAGGGCACTGTGACAATCTTGTTTCCATATACTAATGACCATCCCCTGTGAGCCTCAGGAAATGATGTAGGAATTTATCCCAGGAAAACTTTGTCCAAGTTCTCCTCTTCCTGATGCCAGACCCCAGGGCTGGAGGGTCTGATGTGGGGCTCAGAACTCGCACTCCTGTGGGAAGACCTCGGTAATATTATTCTCCAGTTTGTCTGTCACCCACACAAAGTATGGGATTTGGTGGTATCATGGGTCCGCCCCCTCCTACGTATCTCATTGTGGTTTTTTCTTTATGTCTGGTAGGTTTCTTTACATTCTGGTAGGTTTCTAGTAGGTTTCAGTCTTTTTCAGCCATGGTTGTTGTCATTTGGGTGTGCTCCTGAGAGGAGGTGAGCTTAGGGTCCTTGCACTCCGCTGTCTTGGCCGCTCTCCTCTTGTACAGTTATATTCACACAGATAGACAATCACAAGCTGTGCTCCCAATATGCATACACCCTGTGCTCCACTCATGCCCTTTCTCAGACCTGACCTTTCCTGACACGGCACTTTGATGTAGACGGAACCACTGTTATTTGCTCAAATATTTATGTTGTTCCCCTGATTGTCTCAATTTCCGCAGCACTCCTTCACCCATCCCTCCACCTTCCACATTACTCAGACTGTAAAAACGATCCCTCTTTTTCTGTCGAATAACTTTCTCGTGACATGACCGAAATCACTATGTGCAGCTGTGATGATTCAGAAACCATTTTCAGGAGTGGTGGCTGAATAACATTATCAGTTACGTGGCTCCCTTCTTCTGCGTCTCTCTTGGAGTTTTCTTTTTAAACTCCTGGTATTTGTTTGAATATTTTGTAACCTGTACTGCCTGGGTGGGCAGTCATGCTTTAGAATATGCTGTCTTAGTTTGGAAGTTCAGGTTCAAATCCTGTTTCTCTCAGTACTTTCTGTATCAATTGCAGTCATGTACATAAATGTGTGAGTCTCCTTCCCTGATTTTAAAAATTGTGTTGATTTCCCTCAAGCCTTTTAAACAAATTAGTGCCATTAGATGGCTTAGAATCTTGTATGTTTTACAGTAAAGATTGAAAAGTTACGTTTTATAAATAGTTATATTAATATTCTGTCATGTTTATTGTCACATCACTTTGTATCATATCTTGTATGTTTTTCATCTCCAGTTTGTTCTAAACAACATTGTGTCTGACCCTAGTTAATAAATATACAGATTGCTCACTCTTTATTACATATATTTTAGAGGCAATGAACTGGAGAATTTAAGTGCTCTGTGAAGGTAGGGAATTGCTCTGTTTATTGGCTGTTAGGTTAGGTAACTCTAGAGTAGTTCGTTTATTAATTTTTTTTGGTGTTTTTAAAAATTTATTTATTTTATTTTTGGCTACACTGGGTCTTTGTTGCTGTGAGCAGGCTTTTCTATAGTTGTGGCGAGCGGGGGCTACTCTTCGTTGCAGTGTATGGGCTTCTCATTGTGGTGGCTTCTCTTGTTGCAGAGCATGGGCTCTAGGCACACGGGCTCAGTAGTTGTGGTGCACGGGCCTAGTTGCTCTGTGGCATGTGAGATCTTCCTGGACCAGGGCTCGAACCCGTGTCCCCTGCATTGACAGGTGGATTCTTAACCACTGCACCACCAGGGAAGCCCCATTTATTAATTTTTAATTGTAATTTATATATGATGGTTTTTCAGCATTTATTATAGAATACAGCTGACACGTACCACTTGTTAATGTAGTAAAATATGTGTTCTTTATGGGTACATAGTTTTATAGCAGATATTTAGAAAAATATTTTTTAAAAATTGTGTTATCAAATTCTTCATTTTCTGTATGCTGAATTTGTAATTCTGTACTGCTAGTTACTTAAATTATTCATTAGATAAGTCTGTTTTGGATTATGTACCATTACAGTACATTGTATGTTCTTTAGCATTTATTTATGTACCATAGTATGCAGAATATATGTACAGTATAATATTTTTTGCATCCTCATTTATGAGACCACAGTATGTTTATTGTTAATTGGTATATGCTTTGGTGGAAAAATATTGTTTCTTCAAGAGCTAACCTAAGTTTGTCTAGTGTGAATGTTTTTGTTATAGGGTGTTAGAACTAGGCTACCCTAATATTAATTTGAATTACATGTAATCACTCTTTCTTTAGTAAAGAGTCCTATTCTTTTACTCTTCCTAAAATTTTTAAGGTCATGATTGGGAAGTTTCATAACCTTTTTGGACATAAGTATTACTCTGTGTTTATTTCACTTTATTTTGGCCATGCTGTGTGGCTTGAGGCATCTTAGTTCCAGGACTAGGGATCGAACCCATGCCCCCTGCAGTGGGAGTGCAGAGCCCTAACCACTGGACCACTGGGGAATTACATAATTTTGGTTTAATATCATATATTCAACGTTAAACGTTTACTCATGAATTGTAATGAATAATACACCTTATGGTTCTTTGTATCTTGTAGATATCTCTCATATACATATGATCAAGAAATTACAACCAGGAGCAAACAGTGATAGAGGAGAAGTATTCCAAACAGTGATGTTGGAACGACAGAAAAGCCATGAAATGAAACATTTTTACTTCACGGAAATCCAGGAAGATGACTTTGGGTGTCAGTGGAAGGATGATAAAAGAAATTACAAAGGAATGTCTGTAGCCTGTAAGGAATATATAACTCACAGAAGAGATCGACATAGTAGGTGGAATTCAGGAAAGAAGCCCATTGAAAATAGGCTTACATTAAGCTTTCAGGATGAATTGCATGTATTTAAGAACGATATTTACAAATGTAATGAGTGTGGCAAAGCCTTTAATCATGGCTCATCCCTCCGCAGACACCAGATAATCCATACGGGAGAGAAGTTATATAAATGTGGGTTATGTGGCAATGTTTTCCGTCTGAAGTCACACCTTGTAAGTCATTGGACAACTCATACTCGTGAGAAAACTTACAAATGTAATGACTGTGGCAAAAGCTTTAATCATGGCTCATCCCTCCGTAGACATCAGATGAGCCATACCGGAGAGAAACTGTATCAATGTGAAGTATGTAGCAAAGTGTGTAGTCAGAATTCCTCCCTTAAACGTCATCAGAGGATTCATACCGGAGAGAGACCTTACCAATGTAATGAGTGTGGCAAAACCTTTAATCGTGGCTCTCACCTCTCCACACATGAGGTAATCCATACAGGAGTGAAATTATGTAAATGTGATGTGTGTGGCAAAGTCTTTAGTCAAAATTCATGCCTTAGAATCCATCGGAGAATTCATAACGGAGAGAAACCTTACAAATGTAATGAGTGTGGTAAGGTCTTTCGTCAAAATTCACATCTTGGAAGACATCAGAGAATTCATACTGGGGAAAAACCTTACAAATGTAAAGAGTGTGGCAAGGTCTTTAATCAATATTCAAATCTTGCAAGTCATCAGAGAATTCATACTGGAGAGAAACCTTACAACTGTAACGTGTGTGGCAAGGTCTTCAGTCAAAATTCAAATCTTGTAAGTCATCAGAGAATTCATACGGGAGAGAAACCCTATAAATGTAACGAGTGTGGCAAATTCTTTAATCAAAAGGCATACCTTACAAAGCATCAGAGAGTTCATAATGAAGAGAAGTCTTACAAATGTAATGTGTGTGGCAAGGTCTTCAATCGAAATTCAAATCTTGAAAGTCATCAGAGAATTCATACTGGAGAGAAACCTTACAAATGTAATGAGTGTGGCAGGTTCTTTTCTCAAAAGCCAAACCTTGGAAAGCATCAGAGAGTTCATACTGGAGAGAAAGCTTACCCATGTAATGAGTGTGGGAAGGTCTTCAGTCGAAATTCACTTTTTGCAATTCATCAGAGAATACATAATGTAGAGAAACCTTTCAACTTTAATGGAGTTGAAATGCCTTTACTCAGATCTCAACCCTCACTAAATATCTGATAATTTATACGTGAGAGAAACCATGTAAATGTGACATATGTGGGAAGGTCTTCATTCAGAATTTACACCTTACAATTCATTGGAGAATTCATAGTGGGGAGAAGCTGAGCAAACGTCATGAATATGGCAAAGATTTTGTGCCTGCAAGCCTCACTTTCTATCAGATAATCCGTAGTGGAGAGAAACCTTACAAATGTAATGAGTATCTCAACGTCTTCAGTCCAAATTCATACCTTAAGATCTGCCAAATACTTTATACTGGAGAAAGTCTTTTCAAATATAATGAGTGTGGCAAATCCTTCAGTGTTCTGTCAAGCCTAACTTACCATCAGGTAATCCATACTGCTGAGAGACTTCTTTAATAATATAGTGATATGACAAGGCTTCTATCAGGCATCCATATCTTACACTTCATTAGAAAATTCATTCTGAATAGCAACCAGATAAATGCATTTATTGTGGCCAAGCCTTAAGAGGAGAAATTTATTAATTAAAGAACTCATTCTGGGGGCTTCCCTGGTGGCGCAGTGGTTGAGAGTCCGCCTGCCGATGCAGGGGACGCGGGTTCGTGCCCCGGTCCGGGAAGATCCCACATGCCGCGGAGTGGCTGGGCCCGTGGGCCATGGCCGCTGAGGCTGTGCGTCCGCGTACGGCAAAAAAAAGAAAAAAAAGAAAACTCATTCTGGAGATTACCTCACAAATGCCACGAATGTGAAATAATAATCTTATTTCTCAGGTAAGACAGTTTATATTTGTGAGTGACAGACCACCTGGAGAACAGTGACCAGAAAGAAGTGGGAGCGTCATCCTTTTCACCTAACAGAAGTCCAGAGGGTGTAGTGTGGGGTGTGATGGGTCCTCTGCTCCTTCTTCATCCATGAGCACTTGGTCCTCACCTTCCTATAGTAACATGACTGCTGTATGACTGAGAAGGCTGAAGGTGGAGGGCAAAAAGCCTTTTCATGTTAAGATTCTGTCTGGTTTTCCTGGAAACATTCATCCCAGATATATTCTCTTTGGGTCAAGCTCTTGTGACATGTCTGAGAACTCTGCATCAAGTTCTGGATTCTGAAGACTTTATTCTATACCGTTTTTCCTAAATCTCTTATAGAATAAAGTTTTAAACTTTATTTTAAAGCTTTAACTGTGAGCTAATATTTGTACAGATGTAAAGTTTAAATGGAGATCTCTTTTTTTTTTTTCTTCTTTGAATATTTCATTGATTAGCACCAGTGTTGGAAAGTCCTTCCTTCATTGAATTGGCTGAGCACCTTTGTCAAAAAGTGGTTGGAAGTACACTTGACCTTTGAACAAGGCATGGAGCTAGGGTTTTAGACTCATGACCAGTTGTAAATTCACGTATAACTTAATGTTGTCCCTCTCTATCCGTGGTTCCGCACCCTCAGATTCAACCGGCCACAGATCCTGTAGTACCGTAGTAGTATTTATTGGAAAAAATGCCCATATAATTGAATCCACACAGCTCACACCTGTGCTGTTCAAGGGTTAACGGCACTGATGTAGGGCTCTTTCTGGTTTCCACATTCTGTTCCATTAGTCTATTTGTCTGTCACTGCACAAATCCCACACAGTCTTGATAACTGTCACTATATTAGAAATCTTGAGGTCATGTGGAGTGATTCCAGCCACTTCAGTATTTTTCAGGTATTTTAGCTCTTCTAGTTCTTTTGCCTTTCCCTGTTATTTTGAGAAAAATCTTGTTTGAATCTACAGAAATCTTGATTGAAAACACATTAAACCTGTATGTCAATTTGGGGCGTTTTAATATAATTTCTATGTTGTGTCTTCCAGTCAATTAATCGGTATATTTTGTTAACAATTCAATGAATATGGTATGTTTCGCTCAGATGACCTAAATAGAAGGTCATTTTGTTTCATTACAGTTGTAGGTTTCAGCATAAAAGTCCTTACTTTGTTAGATTTACACATTTTCCTTCTACTTTTTTGAGCAAACATCGTATTATATATTTAATTTCAATTTCCATTTGTAAATTGCATGTGTATAAAATTACAGTGGATTTTTGCACATTGTACCCTGACACCTTGCAAATTATACTTTTTCTAGAAATTTGTATAGATTGCTTTGATTCTCTACATACATTAATTTATTAAATTTTCTGTTTCTACTGTAACAAATTACCACAAACTGAGGGCCTTGAAGGAACACAGATTTGTCCTCCTATGGTTCTGGAGGCAAGATGTGTAAAATGATCCAAAGCACTGTGCTCCTTCTGGATATTCCAGGGCAGAATTTGTTTTCTTACCTTTCTTGGATGCCAGAAGCCACTTAACCTTCTTTGTCTCATGGTCCCCATGTGTATTCGCATGACACTATTTCAGTTAATTCATGATTTTATTCAGATATCTTCTTATCACGTGGGCATTTCCTGAACACGTTGTTTACATTAGGACACTCTGTCACTCTCTCATTGTACGTGTACACCTTCATCGTACTTAACACTATCATATCTGATTTAATTATTGCTGACTTTCCCTTGTAGAAAATATATGCTCCTTGAAGGCAATGTATTGATTTTGTTTCCTGCTAGATATCCAGTGACTGGAAGCATTGCCAACTGACAGGTGAGTGAATGCGTTTATCAGTGCAAAGAAAGTTTGTGTAATGCATCGGCTCATAGGTCAGTAAGTCACATGGTCAGATAAACATGTAATTGCATTTGTGGCCTCACATTCTTTACTCCATTAACATTACACCTGAGTGTTCTGAACATTTGTCATAAATTCTCACAGTATGATTTATTCACACGTTGTGAAATTTTCTCCCACATGGGCTCAACAGATCTAACTCATCAGTGAAGAGATGTCTTCATGAAGTATTTTTCATCCACAACATTTTAAGTTTAGGATTCTTTCATTCGTGCTCCATTCCACACCTGTGACAAAATAATAATTCTGTTTCTCAGGGAGTAACTGAAAGGAGTAAGTTTATCATTCTCACCAAACAGGAAGTCCAGAGGGTGCCGTGGGCGGTGTGATAGGTCCTCTGCCCCTTCTACCGCCATGAGCACTTAAGTCTTCAGTGTCTTCATAGCAACCTGGCTGCAGGATGACAAAGAAGGCTGAGAGGCAAAACCCTCTTTAATTTTAGGTTTTGTCTCGTTTTCATGGAAGATTATTAGCCGGTTGCATTAAATGGCCACCGTAATTTTAATAATATGAAATTTCAAATTTCATATTTCTCTCTTGAATAGAGAAAAAAAGTAAAGGGAAAAGGTGTCAGGGACAGATTATATCAAAAGACTTTCTTCTTTATCATGATAGGGTAATATTCCATGTAACACTGGGCTACTCTGATGTTCAAAATGTCAAGGAAAGTTTTTAGAGCCCTTGTATTTTCTAACTCACAGATTTATTTCCTTTCTGCTGTGTCTGATTCTAAACACACTTAAATCATTCTCCAAATTTTTTTTTTTTTTTTGGCTATGCCCCGCAGCTTGCGGGATCTTAGTTCCCTGACCAGGGATTGAACCGGTGCCCTCACAGTGAAAGTGCCAAGTCCTAACCTCTGGACTGCCAGAGAATTCCCTCTCCAATTGTGATGTAGTTATTCTGATTCCAGTATCGGTAAGAAGTAAAGGAATCCATTTTGAGATGTTTTTTTATCCATGCCATCCTACCTGAATGTGAGAAATATGCAAAAGGCTTGTAGTTGGGAAATATTCTAATATCACCTCCAAATATATTTTAATAGTAGACTCTATATAGTAATATAACTGCTATATCATAACTCTGAGATGTTAAATATTGGGGAAGGAACATTAAATATTTTCCGTGAGGTACTAGAGGCTCAAATAGGATTTACCTGCTACTATACATGAAATAGATAAGCAACAAGGATTTACCGTATGGCATATAAAATTACATTCCCTATCTTGGAATAACCTACAATGGAGATTAATCTGAAAAAAATTTATATAACTGAAGCACTTTGTAGAACACCTGAAACTCATACAATATTGTATATCAGCGATCCTTCAATCAAAAAAAGAAGTGGAACTTCCCTGGTGGTCCAGTGGGTAAGACTGCACTCCCAATGGAGGGGCCTGGGTTCAGTCCTTGGTCAGGGAACTAGATCCCACACACATGCCTCAACTAAGAGTTCTCATGCCGCAACTAAGAAGCCCCCATGCCGCAACTAAAGATCCCACTTGTTGCAACTAGGATCTGGCGCAGCCACAATAAATAATTTGTTTGTTTGTTTGTTGCGGTACGCGGGCCTCTCACTGCTGTGGCCTTTCCCGTTGCGGAGCACAGCCTCCGGATGCGCAGGCTCAGCGGCCATGGCTCACGGGCCCAGCTGCTCCGCGGCATGTGGGATCTTCCCGGATCAGGGCACGAACCCATGTCCCCTGCATGGGCAGGCGGACTCTCAACCACTGCACCACCAGGGAAGCCCATAAATAAATGTTTTTAAATAAGTAAATAATAAAGAAGTATTTCCTTGAAAATACAGAGTATATTCAATTGAGGGTAAGCCCTGAAAATGTTACCTTAAAGTTACGCTGTTCTGGAAGACAGGAAATAATTCTTTTTTGTTGTTGTTACCATACTGTTCATTGAAAAATCGGAGTTTAATGACTTCAAAATGTTAGTTTAGCCACAAATGATTATTTCCTGGCTGATTCATTCTCCTTTTAAAATATCATTATCCAATGTAGATCTGATTTTACTAGTTAGAAGCTAAATATGATATACATATATGTGCTACATTTCATCTTAATAATTAAAGTAATTTATAGATGAGCACAGATGGACTGGGAACATATTTGGTGATTAGTTTTGTAGCAACCTTTTGTACAGATTGTTACTTTTGGAAAGTTGTAGGTCCTAATATAAATTCTCTCTTAAATTACCATTTTCCTTTTTATTCGTAGTTTGCAATAAAATATTATTGATCCTTAAAATTCAAATCAACCAGTTTTGCCAAATAACATGAGAGTGGAAATAATGCACTACTCGTCCGAATGACCAAATCCACATTCCTTAAAAATCACAATAACCCACCAAGCAATCCACATTTACATATCTACCCAAGGGATTTGTAAACATTTTCCACATTAACACCTTGTAAAAGATTGTTGATTGAAGCGGTTTTTATTTTTATTATTTATTTAAATTTATTTAACTTGTTTTTGGCTGCGTTGGGTCTTCGTTGCTGTGCATGGGCTTTCTCTAGTTGCAGCGAGCGGGGGCTACTCTTTGTTGTGGTGCGCGGGCTTCTCATTGTGGTGGCTTCTCTTGTTGTGGAGCACGGGCTCTAGGCCTGGGGGCTTCAGTAGTTGTGGCTCATGGGCTCTAGAGCGCAGGCTCAGTAGTTGTG